AACTCCTTAGAGGTGAGCTAGACCTCAGATCTTATCTATCCATTGTACCTAGAAGCTGCATTGATGTATTTAGAAAACTCATGTGGGCACTTATATGAAACAAAAAAAAGTTAAGTATGAACTAGATTGGGGAGGTCCTTTAATGCTAGACTAAACAGTGTCTACTTTAGAGGCGATGTGGTACAATGAAATGGATGCTAGGCCCTGAGTTAGGAGAAACATAGATTCAAATCTTACCTCCAGTACTTATACTCCGAGAATAATTTTTCTCAATGCTTCCATTTCCTCATCCTCAAAATGAGGACAACAATTCCCATCCTAGCTATCTGTTAGAATTATAAGCATCAAATGAGATAATGTAAAACTTTACAAACCCTTAACATTTAAAAAAAAAAGAGTTCCTGCTTTAGAGAAACAGAAAATTATTGACAAAATAGATTCTGTTCTCAAGTAGGCATTGCATATAAACTCTCATGCCATATGCTCATTTCCTCATGTGGAAATCATTAGTTGATATTAATAACATTGCATAGAATATAAGAGGCTACATAGAGAGAGAGAGTGTGTTGGAGTCAGGAAGACCTGAGTTCAAGTCCAGCTTCTGACACATAACAACTGTGTGAACTTGTGCAATTCCCTTAATATCTCAGTACCTCAGGCAGCATTCTAAGATTATAAACTATAGAGAAGATGCTGATCTACATTGGTAGAGCAAGATTATTTTTCTTAAGTTCCCTGGTCCTATACCCATTACCATATATTTCATTGCTATGTATCATTGATGAGTATATATCATATCCAAAGAAAGACATTCAGTACTCCCCCATGACGTTTTTGTAGTATAGTCATAGATCTATGTCAGTTTCACTTTTGCAACATCTCTCCAGTATGTCCCTTCTGTCTTCTGTTACTGCCACCCTCATCATCTCATACTGGACTATTCAATAGCCTGCTGATGGATCTGCCTGCCTTAAATTTCTCCCCTCTCCAATCCATCCTCCATTCAGCCACCAAAGTGATTTTCTTAAAGCACAAGTCAGACTTTGTCATCCTGTACTCATTTTTTAAAATTTATTTTTGGTTACATCTTAAGTTCCAAATTGTCTTGCTCCCTCCCTTCCCACTCCACACTAGAAAAGGCCACCATTTGACACAAATTTGTAAGTATGTGTAAAACCATAGTATGCATACTTCTATTTATCAGTTCTTTTTTTGGAGGTGGATAGCATCTCCTTTTATAGATCCTTTATAGTTGATTTGAGTATTTATGATACTCAAGATATCTTAGTTGTTCACAATTATTCTTTGAACAGTATTACTGTTGCTGTATACAACATTCACTTGGTTCTGCTTACTTCACTTTTCATTATTTCTTGCAAGTCTTTCCATGTTTTTCTAAAATCAACCAGCTTGTCATTTCTTACAGCTCAGTAATATTCTAGCACAATCATATACCACAACTTGTTTAGCCATTCCCCAATTGATGGGCATCCCCTCAGTTTCCAGTTCTTTGTCATCACAATGAGAGCTGCTGTAAATATTTTAGAACACATAGGTTCTTTTCCTTTTTACCTGATCATCTTGGGAAACAGACCTAATAGTGATATTTCTGGGTCAAAGGGCATAATACACAGTTTTATAACTCTTTGGGCATAATTCTAGATTGCTGTCCAAAATGGTTGGATCAATTCACAATTCTACCAACAGTGTATTAATGTCCCAATTTTTCCATATCCTCTGCAACATTCAGCATTTCCCCCTTCTTTCATTTTAGCAAATCTGAGAGGAGTGAGGTGACATTTCAAAGTTGCTTCATTTGAATTTCTCTAATCAATACTGATTTAGAGCATTTTTTCATATGACTATGTATAGTTTTGATTTCTTCATCCTAAAACTGCCTGTTCATATCCTTTGACCATTTATCAATTGGGCAATTACTTATATTCTTATAAATTTGACAAAATCCTCTATATATTTGAGAAATGAGCACCTTTATCTGAGAAATTGTCTATAAAAACTTTCCCCCAGTTTTCTGTTTTCCTTCTAATCTTGGCTACATTGCTTTTATTTGTACAAAAACATTTTAATGTAATCAAAATTTATCCATTTTGCATTTCACACTGCTCTCTAATCTCTTGCTTATTCATAAATTCTCCTGCAATGCATAAGTTTGATAGGTAATATGTTCCATGTTGTTCTTATTTACTTATGATATCTCCCTTTATATCAAGGACACATATTCATTTTGACTTTATCTTGGTAAAAATCTTGTAAGATATTGGTTTCTACCCAGTTTCTGCCAGACTGCTTTACAGTTTTCCCCATAATTTTTTACCAAATAATGAATTTTTATCTCAAAAGCTTAAATCTTTACTTTTGTCAGACATAAGGTTACTATAATCATTTACTACTGTGTGTTGTATGTCTACTCTATTCCACTGGTCCACCTTTCTGTTTCTTCACCAGTACCAGATAGTTTTGATAATTACTGCCTTATAATATAGTGTAAGATCTGGTACTACTAAATCTCCTCCCTTTACATTTTTCTTTCTTTAATTACTTTGATATTCTTTACATTTTGGTCTTCAAATGAATTTTGTTATTATTTTTTCTAGCTCAATAAAATAATTTTTGGTAGTTTAATTGGGATGTCATTGAATAAGTAGATTAGTTTAGGTAGAATTATTGTTTTTATTATATTGACTCTGCCCACCCATGAACAATAAATATTTCTCCAATTATTTAAATGTGACTTTATTTGTATAAAAAGTGTTTTATAATTATGTTCATGTAGTTCTTGGGTTTGTCTTGGCAGGCGTACTTCCAGATATTTTATGCTGTCTATGGTTATTTTAAATGCAAGTATCTCTTACTCTCTCTTCTTGTAGATTTTGTTAGTGATATGTAGAAATATTAACCATTTATGTGGACTTATTTTATGTCCTTCTACTTCACAAAAATTATTAATTGTTTCACCTGGCTTTTTTTAGTTGAATTGCCAGATTTTCCAAGTATATTACCATATCATCTGCAAAAAGAAATAGTTTTATTACCTCAATGCCCATATTTCACTCCTAATCTTATTGGGAAGGCCTCTAGCTTATCCCTATTATAAATAATGCTTGCTAATGGTTTTAGGTAGATGCTTCTTATCATTTTAAGGAAAAATCCACTTATATTTATGTTTCTGAGTGTTTTTAATGAGAATGAGTGTTGTAGTTTGTCAGACGCTTTTTCTACATCTATTAATATCATCAGATAATTTTTGTTACTTTTGTTTTTCATATAATCAGGTTAATAGTTTTCCATATGTTAAACCATCCCAGCATTCCTGATATAAATCCCACTTGGTCACCATGTATAATTTCACCATGTATAATCTTTATGACATATTCTTGTAGTCTGGCTAGTATTTTATTTAGAATTTTTGCATCCATATTCATTAATGAAATCGACCCCTACTTATTAAATTCCAGCCGCCCCTATTACCTCCAGGATTAAATACAAAATCTTCCAGTTGATATTCAGAGCCTTTCAGAGGGCTAGGTTATTAGCCCTCACCTACTTCTTCTGCCTTCGTACACCTGACATCCCACCACTTAGCCTCTGCTATTACTTAAATAAGAAATTCCTTCTCACGACTAGGCATTTTCTTTGACTGATGCCCATGCCTGGATGTTCTGCTTCCTTATCTCAGTCTGCTGCCTTCTTTGGCATCTTTCGAATCCCAACTAAAATCCCAACTTCTATAGGAAGCCTTTCCTCATTGTTCAGTCATTTTTTCAGCCATGTCCAATTTTTCATGACATCATTTGGGGTTTTCTTGGCAAAGAAGCTGAAATAGTTTGCCATTTCCTTCTCCAGCTCATTTTACAAATGAAGAAACTGAAGCAAACAGGGTTAAGTGGCTTGCCCGGGATCACACAGCTAGGAATTGTATAAGATCAGATTTGAACTCAGGAAGATAAGTCTGCCTGACTCCAGGCCAGGCACTGTATATACTACACCATCTACCTGTCCGTGCCTTTCCCCTCTTTTTGATTCTAATGACTTCCCTTTTTTAATTATTTACTTTTTATCCTATATATAGCTTTCCTGTACAACACATACCACAGTGCCTGACACATAGTAGGTTCTTAATGTTGATTGATTGACTGTTCTCTCCCTCCTCAGATTTTCCGAAAGCATTTTGTATTCTTTGTGTCTTTCTTTGCCTAATCATAACCTTTATTTTGTCTGTATACGTGTTATCTCCCTATTCCTCTTCACTAGTAGAATTTAAGCCCCTAGAGGGGTGGGACTGTGCAATTGTTTATCTCTTTCTTTAGCACTTAGTAAAGTGCTTTGTGCTAAGGAAGGACAGAAACAAAATTCAAATAAAGCCTCCTGGTGACTAAGAGGACTCTGGATTTGGATTGCAACAGGGATTATGCGATAAAATTTTTGTATCAAATATCTCTGGTAAAAGTCTGAGTTCCAAGATACAGAAAGAATTAACACGGATACCATTACCCCCAGTGAATAAGTGATCAAAGGATATGAACAAACAATTCTCAGAAAAAGAATTACATACTGTCAATAACTATACTAAACATTGATACAAATCACTACTGGTAAGAGAAGTACAAATCAAACAACTCTGAATTTTTACCTGATGCCTGGCAAGTTGGCAAATACAACAAAGATCAAATAGTAAATTTGGATGGGCTGAAGTAAGATGAACACACTAATACATTATTGGTGGATCTGTGAATTGGTTTAACTATTCTGCATGGTGGTTTGGAATTATGCTAGCGGAGGGGTTGATTAAAACGCCTGTGCCTTTTACGACATGGTAGGTTCTCACTAAGTGTTTATTGTTTTTATTTGTATTAAAGGGGAAGAATCACAGGTTTCGAGGAGAGTAAATGAAATAAAATTGTGTTTACTCATTCTTTCTCAGGTAGGGAAGAATATACATATAACATTTTCTTCTTCTCTTTTTCCCCCTCTGCATGAAGTATGTGCTGAATCTTTCAATCCAGATGACGAAGATGATACAGAGCCAAAGGTAAGAAAATACAAGTTTCCTTCAGCTGTTTGGTGAAGTTGGTTATTGAGATTTATTTCTCTTCAAATAAGCTAATAAAATGTGTTTCTATCTAATTTTTAAAAAATTAAACAGTTTGTGATATGCACATTGAAATTAATAGCCTTTGAAAGATTTCTGAAATGTTCTAATATTGAAATTCCATTTATTGTATAAAATAATAAAATAATCGTTTTTGTAACATGCATTGCAAAATTCGTGATCAGTTTTTTACTAAAGATATTTATGGGTCATTTGATAAAACAAAAGTAATTTTGAGGTACTTTTCTCATTTTTGTCTGACGTAAGTTTTATGGTATTTGCTATTAGATCAATTGATGTCCTCTGTTTTTCCTTTGTAGAAAAATACTTAGATTTTTAGCTAAGTAGATCTAATTTATGATCTTTGACAACTATTGATTTGACTTGAAGCAATGAATAGAATAGATTTAGTCCCCTCTTTTTTTTCCTCTTTTAAGAGGAAAGAAATATATCATAATTTTCTTGATCTATTGATATAATCTTTCATTCTCTCTTAAGAAAAAGAAAATTTTAAAAAACTAAAGAAAAGAATTTTTTATTGTATTTATTTTGTAGGTGGTTCATCCCAAGTCTGATGAACAAAGATCCAGACTTCAGGAAGCTTGCAAAGATATCCTTCTCTTCAAAAATCTTGATCAGGTAACAGCGATACTAAAAGCATCTTATGACAGTACTCAATCAGTTTCTTTGCTATTATTATATAAATAGATTTAATGGCCACAGGCAGACCAGCAGTTAGAGATTTCAGAAACATTTTACTTAGGAACACTTTTCTGATTGGAAGCAGCCCAGAACTGGAGAATAAGCAATGGCTTTTTAGTCAGAAGACCTGGCTTAAAATTCCACATGTGGTGCTTACTACCTATATGTGGTCAAGGGGCATTCAGCCTCCCTGGACCTTCATTTCCTCATCTGTTAAACAAGGAGTTTGCACTAGATGATCCCCATAGTTCTTTCAAACACTAGATCTGTCATCTATGATCTTCTTATGGTTACTTTATGAAACAATTCAGAATTGTTTTCATGTTTTTCACAGAATATAGAATTTTTCTTTCATCATTTAATGTGGACGTTGCTTAGTACTTCTGTTATATCCCCTGTAGCCTACCTTCTTCCTATAAATAACCAATCAAATTGAATACCACTTGAAAATCATTTGATTGGTCAAATTTGCAAGTAAACAGTCAGCTGATATATTAACCAAAATCTTAGAAAGAATAGGGTGTTATATCTTGTTTCTACTCTATACTAGATAGCAAGTCATGAGACAGTAAAGGGTTTAGTCCCTGAAAAGTGGCACTTCTAAAGGATAGGCTCTTCTTCTGAAGTCTGACAATACAAATAAAAGATAGCTTCTCTGCTTATCACCTGTAGATGCATCCCCATTCTGTAAACAGACCTGTTTGGGTTCCATTTTTTCTGTAAATCCTAGTGCCTTGGTGGTAGGGTACTTGAATGAATTCTTTTTTTGATTTTCTACTAAATTTTAAGTTCCTTGAGGATAAGAACTATGTCTTAATTATTTTTTGAATCTCCTCCATAGGCAGGATTTGGATTAGTAGGATTAGTCTTTGTATTAGCAGTACAAGAATGGATTTTAGGCAGTTTCAATCAGTCTTAGAAAAAATGTTTTGAGAGTTTTTGAAGAGGAGTAGGTGTGGAAAAAATTGGCCTCACTTCTTAGCTCCATTTTGTATGATTCTTAAATGTAAAAAATAGCCATAACAACTTGGAATATTTCATCAGAAGTGTCAAGGTGTATTCAAAAATGTATATCTGTAGTATTCTTTATTAAGTTATCATCTTAAACATTGCAATAGCTAATTTCTCTTTGGCTAATGTGCCATATGTAATCAGTGCATAATAAAATTTTGCAAAACGAATAAGAAAAAAATAAAATGAATAAGAAAATTGATGCTTAGAAAGATTTAAGTAACTTACCTCTATGGTCATGTATCTAGCAGAGATTTAAAGCAAGATATTCCTACTCCACATCCTGAACTCTTTCTTCTTTATCAAGCTAAATTCCAGTAAATCAACGGATAGATGAATGAGTAGTTTTCATAGCTTTGATCTGTTTCAGAGCTGCCATGAGACCTAACTCTGGGACTCATTACAAGGCACCCTCTGGTAGGATTGGTGAAGCAGAGATACTTCCCTATAATGTGTAAGCTGTTCAGTCCTTGCTCTATCACTATGTCCTAGAAAATCTGCTGAGCCAGGGTCAAAAATTATCCATGCATTACCCATAGGGAATGCAACTGGAAAGAGGATCCCCATTGAAATCCAGACCATTAGATATGGAGTTCATAGTACTTACCTAGAATCCTCTTAGTCACTAGAGGGCTATATTGGAACATATATATAATTTTTACCCCTAACCATTGGGCATAAATAAGACCATGTCTCTCTTCTCATATAAGTAAAGGACATTAAACATGATTTGTGAAATTATATTTCACAGCCTTGAAATTAGCAGAGCATTAGAAAGTAACAAAGAACTTCCGGGCACAAAGAAGTCAAATGTTTTGGTTTAGAGTAAAAATTAATAGCTAAAAGGCTCTTACTCTTGCCAGATATAGTTATATGCCAAAGGCTAAGCAGTGCATATAATGGAAGAACAAATTCTTCTTTTATGTGACATTTAATATCTACTGCTTTCTTCTAAGATCATGGAATAGAAAAAAAATTTCTGCAAAACCAATTAGCATTCAAATACCTTAATTTTGGAAACTTATAATTTTGCTTTCATGTTTAAAATAATAATTCTATATTTTGGATAAAAGGTTAGTCACTATTTGGATCCTCTGAATGTCTGAGGTGCTTTGATAATGTGGAAATATGAGGATTATAGTTAGATTTATAGTTAGACATAATATCAGTGAAGTAACTTTATGTAGTAACCACCCTACTGGGTTCCCCATACTGACACATTTTTAAAAAATCCATAAGAAAGTATATGTCTTAAATTTAAAGGTCATTTTTATCATGTAACAAAGATTATGATTTATATGACATCTTAAAGACTACTTTCAGTTTGGTATTCTGTGCCAGCCCTATGTGGAAGGAAAAGTTAAAGTGAGAAAAAGACCTTGTAAAATTGTATCATTATCTCCAGTTATAATAGTGCCTACTAAATACTATTATTCATAGTATAAATTAGTATACAGTGTAATCAGTAGTTAATGCATTACATTTATTTCAACGCTGGGTTCTGGCTTTCATGAATTTCAGTTTAATGTCACTCCAAAGTAAGCGAAGTATTTGAAAGCATGTAGAATAGATAGTTACAGATGAATGATCATAAGAGAATAATTATTGTAGAAAGAGAATTCACATTGTCATGAATTTCCAAAATAGAGAATAATCAATAAATATTAAATGTTTCTTAGATAGAAGCCTGGATCCAGGAGCAACATATCTTTGTATATATGCATAGGAGCTGGATTTTCAAGTCACTTATACAATATTTTTATTTACAAAAAAAGTCTTTCAAAAATAATTATCTTCTGCAAGAGACAGAAAGGAGATTGTTGTATACTTGTAGCCAGCCTAGAGGTATTGCAAAGAAGAGATAGTAATTTTTTCAGCCTTTCAGTAAGCTTATGCAGATATGGGAGCAAAAGACCTGATATGAGGGTATATCTGTAATGGGAGGTAGGTCATGGTGTAGAAAGAGCAACAAAAGTGTACCATTAAAGAACATTCCTGGAGTTGGAGGGAGGGGGGTTGTGTTATCCTATTATGAGAGATGGGTCTCATAAAGGATTTTGTCTGGAAAGGAGTAGACATCATAAAAGAATACCTTCTGTCAGCAAGGGTCCCCTCAGGTCACCAGCCCCCAGAGTGACAAAGGGGATATAGATACAGAGAGAAGATATACTGACCTTAGGAGGGGTGAATGGTAATAAAGACAAAAAAAGTATTGGACCAGACCTTGTGATTTGGGATGCATAGTAACTCCCACCATTTCACTCCTTCCTTCATGAATTGATATTTCTAGGCATGATGCCCAGCAGAAGACCCCCACCAAAAGCAAATGAATAAAAGAAAGAAACCAGGGGAGAGGATGGTGGGGTAAGATGGGATGAAATGGCCTAATATAGAACAAAAATAAAAGAAGGATTTCCAGTTTGACCCTCCAGAAGCACTACTTCATCAGGGACAGAGAAAGAATAAAGAAGACATGTGAATAGCTTATGAATGGAAGCATCAATTTCAGAATAAACTAGGCAGAGATAGAAATAAGGAGGAGGTCAAATTAAATGAATCTTTCTTAAAGCATGCTGCAAAAGAAGGTGGATTTTTTTGATGAAAATTTACACACACACACACACATATTATATAGGAAAACATTTTTTAACTTTTGGTGTTTGTTTTTTTTTTAATTTTGAGTTCCAAATTCTCTCTCCACCCTCCTTCCTGATAGGGCAAGCAATTAGATGCAGATTATATAAGTGAAGTCACTACTAAAGAATATTTATTAAGCTAACAGGTTGGATGGGGAGGATTTTGACCCACATTCTTACTTAAGCAGGGAAAGGAAAGGATCAGAGAGAGGCAAGGAACTAGAGAAATAAAATGAAAGAAATGAGGGAGTTAAGTAAATTCAAGAAGTTTGGAATAGATCAGATAAACAGAAATGATAAGAATAGACTAGCATCAAATTAGTATTACCAAAACTAATCACTGGCATGATGATGTCTTAGTAGAGAAAGGCAATTTTAAAAAATCATGAAAGAAACAAATGGTGACCACAAACTAAATAACCGTTAACTTTACATGTGAATGAATTAAGTAATCTAATAAAATGAAAGAAAATAAGAGGATAGGAACACTAAACCCAAAAATTTGCTATGTGCAAGAAACAAATTTTAAAATAGATTCAGAATGAAAAGTGATAATAATAGGGATACAGATTGGACCTTTGGTCTCATTAGTATTGGAAACTCCTAAGTGATGAAATGCCCTCTCCAATGAAGGTTATACCTTCTCTACAATAGTCTTAGAGATGCCTAGAATAATGGATCAAATTCACATAGAAATGGGGCCACTAAACCATATATAAGAATCCCTGGGGGCAGCATATTGACTTAGAAAATCACATATTAGAATTATATATGTTCTGTTGTATTGTTTTTTATTTTCCAATTGCATTTTAATTTGCTCCAGGACCACTACTTCTGGCCTGGAACACAGAGAGAAATTAAATGATTTACCTATGGTCACACAGACATTACACGTCAGAGGCAGATTTTGAACCCAAGTCTTCTAACTTCAAGCCTGGTTCTCTCTCTGTCTCTCTTATGTCCCTCTCCCTTTCACATAATACTATCTCAGAAGTCATTTGCAGACTTACTCCTAATATGTGGTACACAGGCATTCCAATAGCTGATTGTAGTGTACTACCAATTTATGAGATACAAATAGCCTCAAATTTCTTTTGGGTAATAGAAAAATACATGGTTTAGAGTCCACTGTAAAATGGCAAGAAGAAAAGATATTTTTAGTGCAACTACTGGAGATATCTCCAGATAGCTCCTGATTCGACTACAAGTTATTTCTCCTTCTCTCTTAATCCTTATCATCATCAACAGATGTTATCTTTGTTCTTTGTTTATGTTGTAGGAGCAGTTGTCTGAGGTCCTTGACGCCATGTTTGAGAGGACTGTGGTGTCTGAAGAACACGTCATTGACCAAGGGGATGATGGTGATAACTTTTATGTCATCGAACGGTAGGAAATTGAGCCTTGCGGGTTGTATAGTAATAAGATCCTTTATTCAAAGTACTTAGAGTGTCAGGGCAGCCAGGTGGCACAGTGAATAGAGCTCTGGCCTTGGAGTCAGGAGGACCTGAGTTCAAATCCAGCTTCAGACACAACACTTACTAGCTGTGTGACCCTGGGCAAGTCACTTAACCCCAGTTGCCTTGCCAAAAAGGAAAAAAAAATGCTTAGACTGATTGTGACCATGGAATAGCTCCCCAAGATATCTTCCAACAAAATATGCCATGCACCTCTTCCGGGAGCTCTCAGAACCCAAGGGATCAAAGGTGTTACTCTTTTCACACCAAAACTTTGAGATGATATCCTGGCTCCATTGTCCTTTGTTGCTTTTTGTCTCTGTTGTAGTAAACCACTTAGAACCTCAAATCTCTTTTAGTAAAATAGAGGAATTAAGTAAATACAAGTGACTTAAGTCAGCTACAGGTATCCTTTTGTGACACATAATGACCTGGCATAGGCACAGCTTCAGCTGAGTCCTAAAGATGACATTTGCAGTTCTACCCTTTTTAAAAAAAACAGTGTTAGGTAGACTAAACTTTCTTGAGGATATCAGGACCTTTCTGATAGCTCCAGCTATGACCCCTTAGTTCTAGGTCAGAACTGTGTTTTCTATAGTGACCTCAAACCTTCCCCCTCCCCACAGCTAGCTGACCTAGTCTTATGGATTCTAGAATCTTCAGAACTTAAATGATATCCAAACCACCACCACCACCACCACCACCCCAAACCTAACTCAAGTTCAACAAGACTTCTTTCCTCAGTCTCTCTAGACATGACCCCAAGTTATTTCCAGTTCTGTTTTCATCATCATCATCACAAAAAACTCATAATATATTAATGAAACATTGGACCCATCACCCTAAGGAATCTATAGAAAGATTAATACTCTCTCATCAGAACACTTGATGAATAGGTTAAAAACTTACAAAAATACTTTTGGCATAAACAGACATTACGTCACTGAGCAATAGCAGAATCCAGTAAAAACTACACACCATTGGATTTGTCTAAAGTAACTTAAATTGGTTTACTAGGAAATGGTGATGATCCAGGAACGGAACCCAAAGGTCCTCTGGGCAGTGTCTCCATGAACTTAGCCGACAATATGTTAACCAAGAAGTGTCAAAGAAGTGCTAAGTAATATAAATTTATTTATGAAAGCAGATAGGTTTATGATAGCAATTTAGGGCCAGGTCATTGCCACTAGAAATTACAGAAGGTTATCTTTTTGGAGTTTAGATTTAATTATCAGTGAAGGTTATGCAAGGACATGATAAGTATTGTGCAACACAATACTACAGGCTATAAAATAAAATACATACTGAATAAAAGACATGACCTGGTGACTAGAATTATACATCAGAAGCTTTCATGGACTGACTGACACATGACAAATTCTTGTACAATAATACAATCTCAAAATGTCCTAGACATGTCAACTGATAAACTGTACCACACTATTATTTGAAATTGAAGTATTGCCCATGATTACCTAGACTTTACATTGGTATATAAAACTTAAGAACATTGTAATAAATGTTGCCATACATAGTCATAGTGTCCAAGCTACATGGGATGAAAAGCTGTTGAAATATAAAAGATGTAGCAGAATACCAAGTGATAGAATGAGATATATTTCATCACCATCATTTTGTCTGCTATTCTAGTTATACTGAGGGTGCTTTCTATAGGCATATAGCAGATGAACTTTTGTTTTTCCATGTCTATAGAAAAGCAATTATTTTACCCACCAGCACGTAATTGTAAAAATTTAAATATAAACATATAAGTAACAGAATGGTTAACTGTGTCAGGACCATTTCTTTCTTACTCTGTTAAACAAAATGAGGTAATTTTTCTATTGCATGACATATAGTAGGTGTTGACTTAGAGCAGTAGTAGAAAACTTGAATGCTATATTACTTAATTAAAGGCAAAAAAAAGTAACAGGAGAGAAATCCAGAAAACAAAAACATAATTCTAGATGCCCTTCATTAGCAACTGAAAGCAGAATTCAAAATGAATACAAAGAATCGAAGTAACACAGAGAACAAAATAAACAATTCGGTCGGAAACTTTCTTATAAAGGTATGAGTTCTGAAGGTACTTTTATTGAGTCTATAGACAATGAACTTGCATTCTAATGCTTTTATTCAGTTATTAAAAAGTAGTTATTTTTATTTGCCTGTATAATAGTTCACAGAGCGTTAGATGTTAAAGAATAATAGGATAGGGCCTTTTCCCAGGGCCTTTTCTATCTGAAGTCTATTGAAAAAAAAGATTAGAAAAATGTGGTGGTGGTGCTAGTGGTGTTGACGGTGATGGTGGTGACGACCACCAGCATCACCTCCTCAAACCCGAAACTGTCTTCCACATGGTAGCAGGGTAACAACAAAATAAGAAAATGCCAGCCAGTGCAACTTACAGTGCAAATTTTGCGTGTGCTCTGAGATCCCTATAGTATCTCTGAAGACCTGGTAGGAACATTGAAATGTGGGTCAGTTGGATTCTAGCAATATCATTCATTTGTTCAGCACCCCAATCAGTGTAATATAATTGCTCCTGTGAATTTAGGAAATAGATTGTATCGTATGGTTTCAAACTGGCTCTACTCAGAACCATCATGGTCAACTTGACACACAAGGCAACAGAGTGAGTACCATTCCGTCATGTTCTAGTACCAAGCTGCACTGGAACAAATGAAAAGTCCCAATACTTTACCTGCTGAAAATGCTTCAGCATAGGTAATGCTTATTAAGGAGGGTAAACTTAACATGAAATGGACTGAAGATATAAATGTTTTTATTATTGCCCAGTACTATGTCAGTGAGTCAGTCAATGAATTTTCAGATATTCAAATGTATCTGGGATCTCAGTGATAATGATTGGAATTCATCCATACCTGCCCATCCATCCTGCGGGATTCATACATGTTCTCAAAATTTGCCATTCAACATATCGGAGGCCTCCTTCCTTTTCTCCTGACATCATGAGTGTACCAGTGGATCACTTTGGCCATCCATGGTACAGTTATTTGATTAACTCTCTTAATCTTGTTCTTCTTTGGAGTTCCTCATTGGTTATATGGTGCAGCCTGCTCACATCCACTGTGTCTTTCCATTGCCCTCTGTGTGATACACACCCTTAATTCTTAAGAGGGAAGGATTTTCTAAGTCTTGCTGCCACCATGCAGCAACACCAGTAAAATGTTTGTATTCAAAAGACAAGCTTTTGCTCTCATGTAAAGTTTGGCGTCAGTAAAAGTGTTTTTCAGTTGCCTGAAAGCAATCCAGGCCACTCTCTTTTCCACCTTAATCCAAGATCATTGTTAGTCTCTATTGTCTGTTCCATATATCAATCAGTCAGCAAGTATTTATTAAGTACCTTCTGTGTGCTTACTGTAATAATGAAATGTTTGGTAAAAACAAACAATGGCAATCCCTCTAATGACTTCGAAAAGGAGAGAGATGGAATTTTACAAATGCCCTTTTTGAATTTGGCTCCAATGTTATAACAGAACAGTAATTTTAAAAAACTGGTATCTTCTATAACCATCATGAACAAATGTGTTTCCCACTATATCTGACAAGAGTGTAGAAATGTTTCAGGACCTGCACACAGCACATTATGATACCTCCATTACCACAGGAGGACTAGAGGAAGAATGGTGGTGCTATCTAGGAATATTCCTGAGGAGAGGTGTCAAATCCCGTAATGGCAGAAGTGGCTTGAAGAAATTATTGAAGACCTGCAAAAAAAGACATTGTAAGATTACATTTATGTCTCTCAGTATGTGCAATAGAAAACTTGAACTCCATCCATATTGCCTGATTAAAGACAAGGAAAAATAAACATGGAGTGGCATCGGGAAAACAAAGTGTATCAGAAATTCTTGATAGAATGAAAACAACAATTGAAAGAGGAAAACAACAATTGAAAGAGAAAATCAAAAGGCTAAGGTGTGATACAATAAATCTGAGTAACACAGAGAAGAAAATTGACAATTTGGCTCAATCAAAAACTATATTAATGAGTCTTGAGAAGCAGAGAGTAAAGGAGAGAGAATCTTTTCTGGCCATAAAGAAATCCACCACAGTGAAAGCATAGGTTGGATCGAATGTGAAACAAAGTTTGTGAACCATTAATATGAGGAATGATAGTTGCTAAAACTCTAGTTTGTCAGCAAATCTGGACAGCAGTGGGTTCAAGTAAGAACCATAATTACTGGTTCAGAAGCACAAAGCACTCTACCAGATTCTTTTTTTGGATAAAAGCCTGATCTGTTTCATGAAGAAGACTTCATATATTTTTATTAGTATAAGATGAGAACAGCAACAAACCCTCTAAATATAGGCTAATTACATGTTTATGTACTTTATATAAAGAATTCACAGTATATCACTTTAAAAATCTATAAATACCTTCAAGAAAATAATGTGTCAGCTGAAGAATAAAAAAATGTTTGGGGCAGCCAGGTGGTGCAGTGGATAGAATACTGACCCTGGAGTCAGGAGGACCTGAGTTCAAATCCAGTCTCACACACATAATACTCACAAGCTAAGCGAGTCATTTAACCCCAATTCCCTCACCAAAAAAAAAAAAAAGAAAAAAGAAAAAGTTTGCCAGGAAATCCCAAAAGCATGAAAAACAATTCATTATCAACTCAGTGATAATTAAGAGAAGGCTTCTGAAAGCAACATAACATTTACATCACCTTTACTAATTATTAAAAAGTCTTTAACTCTGTTTTGCCTTTATGGCTTAGTATTATACTGCCAACATAGAAAATAGATCCTAGCATAATGAGAACATTAGGTTATTTGATGGCTGCATAGAAAACTTGTTTGTTTTTTTTAATTATACACCACCAACACAGTAAAGTCAAGAACAGTTGCTATAAAATGTATCACAAGCTGGATATGGTTTTGCCTAGTTATAAATGCGTCATC